CATCAACTAATTCACATGTCTCATGTCTCTTACTACCTTTTTAACTGCGACTGCGAACGAGTTGCAGTATTTTGGCGAAAGGTTGACCTTGACTCCCTTCAAGTCTTGTATACTAACTAAGCCAGAGAAAAAAAAATCATCTTACGTGTGCTGTGGGCTGGTGAATTGGCAAAAATCATCTTCTTTCATTTTCAACTTTATCATATGTGCTTCCGGGACCAAGACTTGGAAATTACGAGGACAATAGAATGGTATCTTTCCAACCAGAATTGGCACATTATCTTCTCATTCAATCCTAAAAATATAGCTACTAATTTTACGACTGTAGTAATCTTCCCAATCAGTGCGTGAAGGACGAACACTTGGCAATTTTTCTACGCCTAGAGTCTATGACTATTGCTGGTTTTTTTTATCTGTCATCACATCAAAAAGATTTTTATTTCTGGAGCTTAACGAAAGGAAAAGAGACATTATGTATTTAAAGTGACTAACCATCTCCTTGAATAAAACATACCAAAAAAAAAAATTCTATAAGAGTCTTAAAAAGTTTAATTGATTCTCAATCTCATTGGAAAGCATAGAATATAAATATCAAATTAAATTAAATTCAAGAAAGATTACTACTCATATCAACCCTTCAAACAAACTCCCACAAAAATTTAACGGACTTTTAACTATCTAGATAACTATTTTATAGTTTTTGGTACATCCCTACACCGAAAAATGAAACTAAAAGTAATATTTAGAGGAACAAGAAGGATAAGATTCTAGTCAAGCAAAACCATTCATATATTTGTAGAGTCTCTCATTGTTTAGTTAAAGAATTTAGGATCCATTCACGTAATTAATTAGCATTTGATCACTGAAAACATACAAGCACTTCGAAAAAGTACAACCGTTCATCACTCGTTGTTTTTTAGCCAACTGAGCACTAGATCTCAACTCGCTTTCGATCACACTGGCTCTCATCTCATTTCCATTTTTCTGTATTTTTCCCCAAGACATTGGCGCAGGTCTCTAATGTGTATTCTGGGCTACGGCCGAAACGACCAAGACTTTGTGACGTACAACAACTGCAGAATGCTTTCTTCTTTCCACATAATTGGTACATCACCTTTCCCTTCAACCCGGTAACACAATTTTTTATCTTATGCTTATCTTCCAAATCAGGTCGAAAAATATATAGACCAATTTTGTATGTAGTTTTCTCAGTCGCCATCTTCATTGCAATCGGTGCATAGTCAAGAATTTGGTGTAGTTTGATGTGACCACAATTACAAAAGGATACTTTGCTGGTGCTAACATTTGCATTTAGTGATGCAACTTTATCTTCTTTTTTTTTCCAACTCTCTTTCTAATATTAGTCCTATAAGAAGCAAATTGAAGGCGTGAGTAAAAAATCTTTGCTTGCTATCTTTTAACTTCATTTGATGACATTCAAAAGTATGTTGAAGGGAAAATGTCTCTGAGTTTACACAAAATTAACAAAAGAAACAAGGAAAGAAATAAACTTTTGTCATCACAACGTGAGTCGACATAAAGCAAGATGTACGGGCACTTGTATAAATTACAAATGAATTGCTCTATACTCTTTACCATTTTGGAAAACAACAGGAAGTACAAACTAAATGATCTTCTTATACATGTTCTAAATTTTCATGAAAAGAATTTCCAACCCATTGTATTTTCAATTATTTTTTTTAAAAAATGCTAATATGAAAATAGCCTTTTTTTTTTTAATTTTTGATGGTCGTCAAAGGAGAAGAAGCAAACTTCAAAGACTTCAACATTTGAAATCCAAGTCTTTCTTGCAAGGTGAGTTGTGGACTTCTTGATTATCAGTCACAGTACGCTATACTTTTGTAATTGATGACAAGTGCGCAAGAATGTCTATCACTTCACGTGTTTACGAAGCATCCTTCCATTTTCTAGCAAACATCACGGCAAATTTTTCTACAACTTAAGGAAAGATTATAGTCGTTAGGATGGCAACCAGGGGTGCCAATATTAGAGGTGGCAAAATGGGCGGGATGGGCGGGATTTGCTTGGGTTTGAGATGGAACCGAGTCATATGGGTTTGGGCCCAACCTTACCCATATGTGTTTTGGGACTAACTTGGGCGGGATCATTTTGGGATGGGTTTAGATTGATCCCGCCCAGTACCCAAATCCATTTTCTACATATTTTTTTTTCTTTAATTCATTTTTTATTTTTATATAATTTTAATATTTTTGATTTATTAAATTTCTTTTAGTTTTATTAAATAAACATGCAAGTGCTTTATACTCAAGATTCCCACCAAAAATTGGATTAACAAATAAAGGAAAAGATAGATATACAGCCATATTCCAACATATATCAAGATGGCCAAGGTCCTTAGGATGTTGAATATTTATCCTTATCATTGTCCAAGGATGACAGGTCTAAACTAACTGAAATGCTGGAAATTCTTGTGGATAATGACTAGGAAGACTACTAGATTATATTCGCTGGTATGACTATAAAAATTGTTAAAGATAATTTTTGAATCTAAGATTCCGTTTGGATTGACTTTTTTTTTCAAAAAATAAGTTTTTCAAATACAATGTTACAGTAATATACAATAACTCAAGAAACATCCCATCCATATTAATATATCAAATATTTCAAAAAAATTTTATAGTAAAAATTTTTCATATACACTGTTACAATAAAATATTTCAAAAACACCTACCAAAAACAGCTAATCCAAACGGAGCCCTTGCCATTTGAGCCCAATGGGTACCCAAGTATTTCCCATCCTTTCCCATTCATTAATGGGTATAGTTGGGATGTGTCCCAACTTAAACCCAATACCAAATTATAATACCCATCCCGCCCAAAGTTCCTTTGGGCATGGGTAGCCCATTGGGACTTGGGACAAATTGCCAGCTCTAGCCAATATGCTCCGCCCCGCCCTGGAGAAATTTTTTTTTTCCCCAATTTTAAATGGAGTTGGGGCGAGAAGGATACTCCGCCTATATTAGAAACTTAAACTGTGAAAGAATGAAAAAGGAATAGCTAATCTTAGCACGAATGGAAAATCTGTTAATTAAAGTATAATTTAGGAGTTTACAGAATAAAGAAATAGATCGAATTAAAAATGAAGGAACATGCTTTAACAATAAAGTTTAATAGCACAAGTCCATAGTTTACTAGTTTTGGTTATTCATTGAGTTATATAATTCCGAAAACCTACATATGTTTTGGTTAAGTTATATAATTCCAAAAATCAACATACTGATTTGGTTCATGTTGCAATGCAAGTGCTACTTTCTAGTAAGGCCTTTCAGTTTCATTTCCATCCAAACTCTTTTCACAATTGCAATATAAAAGAAGTCAAGACTTTGGATCATCTTTGGATATTTTTGCTCTATTTAATTGCAAGACATAGGCCATTATTTAATACTGCAGGAACATTTTAGAGTTAGTACCAAAAAGTTGCTCTTGCAATAAGTTGATGCATAGCATGATCGAGTATTGAAAGTTCAAATTCCTTTACAAAGAAATGAGAAACGAAGTTTTATGATCATAGCAGTACACTTTTTTGGTTCAAGGTCCTATCCAAACCTTTTCTTTTCTTTTCCTTTTTGGCAAAACTTTCAAGCGGATTAGACTGGAAAAGGTGGAATAAGATGTCAAAAAGATTGGCAATCCACTAATGCCTTGATGAATACGGGAAGAAAATATTGATATTAACCGATTTGTAACGGATAATCTATCAATTATGATAAAAGTAATAATCAACTGGTTATGTTGGTTGACGACAACTTGCGAGAAAAAAATTGCTTTCAACGAAATCAAAGCAAGAATCTAATGGCCCGACAAGATGCGCGCCTCACATAGTTATAAAGCGAATAAATCTAATAGAGATCAAATAGAACCTTACTGTTATATGACTTACTTATAGAGATTAAATAGAACATGATAGTTTCAGGGTCGAAAGGATGTGAATAGGGGAGAGAGGGTTAAAAAAAAAAAACCTTATTGTTGTACATTACAAATATTATAGAGATCAAATACTTGGCCTATGTGGTTTTACAGAACTTGCCCTGTAACAAAGTATAGTTGATAATCTAGACAAGCCAGTGTTTCATATTTCACATACCAACCAATGAACATTAAGATTAAATAAGTAATATGGATGTATGTAGAAGTCAATACTCGAGCTTTACACATAAAATAAATAGCATTTTTTAAATATATATGCACTGGTTACAAGTAATGTGTCTACGTACATGAAAGTTTTATCTACAATTATTTACAATTTTTTTTTTTTTTGTAATTCGAAGTGGCCTTGATATATCTCTAATTAACTACATTGTAAATTTTCTTGATATGTTTCCAATGTGCAACGGACGACATCCCAAACTAGTGCAGAGAAAAATAAGAGTGCCTTTAACCAACAAAGTGCCAAAAAATATCCCTCCTGCACGATGGAATAGCAGAAGTCCCCACTTCACTTTGAAAGGAGAGTTCAGGAACGACTTGAGATGGGAGACAAGTGCTTGTCTGTTTCTTCCCAGTGCACATGACAAAAGAAACTAGAATGGGGAGATGCTGGAATATATCAAGAAACGGTCCTGTTATGCACGGTAGACGCCCTCACCTTGAAGCTATGGTCTCCGAAGACTGTTCTACCCATCACCGACTTGCTGCCCTGCTAATCCTACAAGAGGTTAAAACACGACTTGATGGAGGTCCCTCCCCTAAAGGTCCATCCTTCCATGATCTAATAGTACTTGTTTGGAACTTAGCAGGAATATCAATATTACAGCCTCTTTCCATTTATTTGGTTTTATTTTTCTAAGAGCGTGTTGGCTATTGCTTCCCATGCTCGTCAACAGCTATATATAGGGTTAAACTTGACCCCAATTCTTACTTGTGAGCTCAGAAAAATCTGAAATCGAACCATGAGCATTGCCATGAACAAAATCTACTACTTTTTCTTGTTTATCTTTAGTTTAGCTTGGTTAGCCGTCATGGCAGCCAGCAACGGTAATATTACAGCTGATCAATCAGCGCTTCTTGCTTTTAGAGATCGCATGATCACTTCAGATTCTCACAAAATCTTGCCAAAAAACTGGTCAGTTACCTCCTCCGTCTGTGATTGGATGGGAGTCACCTGTGACGCTCAACAACGTAGAGTGACTGGCTTGAATATCTCAAAGATGAACCTTACTGGTACCTTACCTCCTCAACTTGGGAACCTGTCCTTTCTGGTTTTCCTTGACATTAGCAGCAACAATTTCCACGGAGAATTGCCTCGTGAGTTAGTTCACTTGCGCAGATTGAGATACCTTGATTTTGGGATCAACAATCTCGGTGGAGAGCTCCCCTCCTGGTTTGGTTCTTTATACAAACTCCAATACCTGTCCCTCAGAAACAATAGCTTTACGGGTTCTATCCCGCCTTCCATCTCTAACATGTCAAACTTGGAAACTTTATGGTTGTCTTGCAATTCAATTGAGGGGACCGTTCCAACAGAATTTCAGAATCTTCATAATTTGAAGAATTTGATTATTGAGAGTAATCAGCTTTCCGGTCCTTTGCCTTTCCATGCCTTCAATCTTTCCTCAATGGAAAGCGTTTCCTTCCTGAATAACAGCCTATCTGGCATTTTTCCGGACGACATCTGTCACCGCCTTCAGAAACTTACATGGCTTAGTCTAGCAGAGAACAATTTGATCGGTCGAATACCTTCAACGGTGTCACAGTGTTCACTGCTTCGGTATCTTGCCTTGTTTGGGAACCATTTCACTGGATCCATACCTAACGGAATCGGGAACTTGACAATGCTGGAGGACCTATACCTGCAGATGAACAATTTAACAGGTAAAATGTATTAGTGACCTGCTTTTATTCCTATTTTTTAAGTATGGATTAAGCTTATGCTTCTGTTCTTGTATTTGCATTTGAGATATCTAGTAAGATTATGCTTCTCTTCTTCTATATGGAGGTTTCAGACAAAAAGAATAACTATACCAACATTTTCTTTTTGCGGGTTTGGTAGACAGTGATGAGAGAGCACCGCCTCTCTGTTTCTCTATTAGTCTAGCATTCACTAGATTTATATAGCTGCAAGATGCATTTTTAGAATCTTCCCGAAGGAAATCAGCACTGTCTTAATTGTGATAACTTAGTGCATGTATAATTAGAGGGCCAGTCTTTAGTAGAAGTGAGAGGTAAGTCCCTGCTATTGCAAATTGGTGTATAAGTTTAAGAGTTGTGTGGTACATAATCGTTAGAGTTCCACGAGCTCTAGTTATCTTGGTATAATGTGTTTTATATATAAATGCTGAGTGTTGTTTGTGGATTCCGTTTTGGGTCTATCACTTGGCAATTTCTTCTGAACCATGCTTTAACAACTTTAAATATGCAGTCAAAATTTCAACCTTAACTATGCAAATCATGTAATTGGATTTTGGGATTTACATACATATATACCACATAGACATTCTCGTTTATATATGAGTGCGTATATATTCTTCGATCAATTACATTTACATCTTCTGCAGTTTATCAAATTACATATCAGACCCTGAGGTTTGTCAATACTATCAAAAGGTCCTACATCCAAATAGATTTATAATATAAATACCCTTATTGTATGGGTCTTAACTCTTAATGTTTACCGTATTCCTGAGGTTTCTAGCAGTATCATTTAGTGTCCACAATGTTTTTAAAATATTACTTATTTATCTCATTTTTAAATTTTTGTAATACTTTTAACACAATTGAAATATATGATTAAACTACTAATTTTAGGAAAGAGAAAATAATTTCTTTCTAACGTTGCCCTTTTGTTGCACTATTATTTTACACAATTATAATGATATAATTAAAAGTTGAAAACAAAGGCAAAAAGCATGAAGATGCAAGTCTAATGCGTTAAATTATAGTAGCTACAAACATAAGCATCATGTTCATTTAATGCACAAACAAATAAAAGTTCATTTAAGATATTCCCAAAGTGCAAAAGTAGATTTTTCTTTGGGATTTGTCTATTTGGTGATCTACGGCCACGTAATAAGTAATGGACCCTTTTTTCGACAAAAGGGATAATCCAAAAATTTTGCAATTCGAGCAGTCAGTTTTGTTTTTAGAATTTTAATATTGGGCCTACCTTCATTTTTAATACACCATTAGAGAACCAAACAAAAGAAATCTTTCCTTTTATGTAACATGTCCTGAGTGAATTTAAGGAATTTTATAAATTGTTTAGAGTCTTTATTTTTTATTTGTCCAAATTCATGATGAAAACCAGAAGAAGGGAAAGTGTTCACAATTACATTTAAATTTATTTAAGATGTTTTCAAGGTGCTAAAAAGGTTTTTTTTTTCATCTTTGCAGTATTTCATATGGTTTTTACGTGTTTTGTAAAATATTTAGAATTTATACAATTTTTAAATTTTTTTGTCCATATTATGACCAAAAAAAACTGTTAAAGGATCTCTTAGATCGGTTAAGAAATATTTCTATTAAATAACCACATTGATTAAGCTTTCAAATGTTAAGTGTTTCTAAATTATTTTATCATAAGCAGAATAGAACACAGCCTATTTGGTAAGATACTTCACTTGTAACTAAAAGATTATGGGTTCGAGTTATTAAGGGATTAAGTGTGAAGTCACTATTGATCCTCTTTGAAAAAAAAATTATCATGACAATTAAGGAATCATAACAAAAGGATAACTTTGGAATGAGATTACCAATTCTTTTAGAATTAGTTTTTTAATCATATATTTTGACTTGGGATTGAAAGTGTTACAAAAAAAAATTTTGAAAATAGGGAAAGGTAAGTGATATTTTTAAAACTTTAAAGGTACTAAATGATATTATTAGAAACTTGAAAGGAGGTTTCTGAAATTACCCCTTTTATATGTCGACTGATGTCAGCATTATTTTTTTTATCAAAAGTCCGATAATACCCCCAAGCCCCAACTTTCTCTTCCTCTATTCAAGCAAGTTTTCCATTACCAACAAATTCTTTCTCCCATGCCCATCTATTTACTATTGAGGTGAAATCTTTAGCCTGAGACATTCATGTGCAAAAGATAAACAAAGTCAAACATAAATAATCTCAAATTTTGGCCATAATACACCCCTAGCAGCCTGCATTTCTCAAAAACAAAATTACCATATTCCTCTTTCTTCATGCCACTTTCTCATCATTTAACCCATTCTTTATCACCATATTCATCTAATTTTCACCTGAAAACAACATTCTATCAACATAATTGTACAAAAAATGCACCAGCAAACTATGGCATACAGATCCATAGGAGGGCGATACGCACAGCGGTAGAGGTAGTAGCAATCTGATGGTGAAATTGAAGGACAAGCAGAGTATTGGTTATTGTTTGTTAGATTATAATTGGATTGGTGTTTTTGAGCCTATTTTTGAAAAACTGTTTTTCACGTTCCAAATGCTACAGTAAATGTGTATTTCAAAAACAACTTCAAAAACACCAATCCAAACAATATATCAAAAATAACTCCAAATATATTTCAATTATGCATATTTAATTTGTATATTTTAATAAGTATATTTCAATTTGTATATTTTAATTATGTATTTTATATGTATATATCAATTATATTTTAATATATTTTAATTATATATTTTAATATGTATATTTCAATTATGTATTTTAATATGTATATTCAATTATGTATATTATATATATTATATTAATATAAATATTTTATTTCAATTATGTATAATATTATATATATTATGTCAATTGAAATAAATATTATATATTTATATAAATACATTTATTTATATATAAATTTATAAATATATTTATGCAATTTTGTTTTATAATATATATTAATATGTATATTTCAATTATGTATATTATATATAAATTATATTAATATTAATGTATATTATATATATTATACATTTCTAATATTATATATTTACATATACATATCATAAATATTTTATTTTGTTTAAAATATATTTTTATATATTTATAATATATTTACATAAATATTATATGTTATATAAATTATATATAATATAATATATAATATATTATACATTTATATAAATGTACATTTATACATAATATATAAATATTTATGTATATTTATAATATACATTTATATTATATATTATATATTATATAATACATTTATAATACATTTATATATTTATATTAATATACATAATATTAATTTTACATTTATACATAATATTAATACATGTATACATTTATATTAATTATATTAATACATTTCAACATAATATTAAAACATATTTATAATATATTAATTTATACATTTATATAATATTCATTTATAATTTATACATTTTTAATAACATACACTTATACATTTAAATATACATTTATATTATGTGTTATATATAAATACATTTATACATTTATATTAATATACATAATATTAATTTTACATTTATACATAATATTAATGCATATATACATTTATATTAATTATATAAATACATTTCTACATAATATTAATATATATTTATAATATATTAATTATACATTTATAATAATAATACACTTATAATTTATAATATATTTATAATATTCATTTATAATTTATACATTTATAATAATATACACTTATACATTTATAAATATATTTATATTATGTATTATATAGAATATAATACATTTATATATTTTTATATGAATATATGAATATATTTATTTATAAATGTATTATAAATGCATAAATGTATATTTATATAAAAATTATAATTTATAATTTATACATTTATATAATATTCATTTATAATTTATACATTTATAATAATATACATTTATACATTTGTAAATATAAATGTATTATAAATGCATAAATGTATATTTATATAAAAATATAAAAATTATAATATTCTAAAAATACTCAAAAATATGTTTCAAAAATACCTCTAAAAATAATCCAAAAAAATCTACAGTAAAAGTTTTTCATATAGTTTTTGAAAAACAACCCCAAAAACAACTAATCCAAACGGATTTGTTTTTCAGATTCGAAATGCTACAGTGGTGTTTTTGAAAAACAACCCCAAAAACAGCTAATCCAAACGGAGCCAATAACAGTAGGTTATTTTGGAATAAGTGAGGAGGAATAAGGGTTGAAGGATTTGGGATTTACTTTCCGCAAAAGGCCGACTTAAGGCGGGACCAAGTAGTTGTGCGAGCATAGGAATCCACTAGATTGGAGACTTGCAACAAGGCTGGTGTGTCAATTGGACTCCATGAGTTGGACTTTGATAAATCCAAACTTGGTTTAGACAATAAATAGGATTTTCAAACTTTTGAATTTTTGGGTTCAGGCCTAAGTAGGGATGGCAACGGGGCGGGGTTGGGCGGGGCTTACAAACTCCCACTCCCCCCGCCCCGCCCCGCCCCGCTTTCCCCGCGGGGCACCCACGGGTTAATAAAATTTTCTCCGCGGGGTTAATAAAATTTTATTATAGTTCAATTTTAATAAATAATCAAGTACTAAAATATCAACACATCATCAAGTTATTATTCATTTTAATTTTACAATTGAAACTCATAAAAACAATCAAACAAAAGTTATTTGAATACAATCCAACATGATGAAATAAATACAACTAAAATAGTTAAATTTTCACTTTTGGTACAAATACAATCACTAATTCATTATTGTGTTTGTGCTTTTTTTTTTTGAGAAAAAAGTGTTATTCTATTAAGTGTAATTAGAAATTTAGTATAAATGTATTAGTAAATTTAGTATAACTAATTAATAAATTCTATTAGTAGACATGTCTAATTATTCACATAATTGATAATATCAATTATATTACATGCACTAATATACATTATATAATACATCTAACTAATAATATCATTATCATAAGTTTATAACTAATTAAATTCCATATTATATATAATTATATATATATATATATTTTTTGCGGGTGGCGGGGCGGGGGAACCCGCCCCCCGCCCCATTTCTAAACGGGGGGAAAAAATTTCCCCGCCCCCGCCCCACCCCCCGCCCCAACCCCTGCCCCGAGAGCCCCCGCGGGCACCCGCCCCATTGCCATCCCTAGGCCTAAGTTAGAAGGTTCAAATTCAACTCACACTTTAATATGAGTTTTGGAATCAAATCGAGTTTCACCTAAGCTCATAATTAAGTACATAAATATATATATACTTGATATTTATGAATTATTATAAATTTATATATAAATTTTTAATATTTCATGGTACAATATTTATAGTTATATATTATATATTACTTAATATACAATAATATAAATATATATATTAATAATTGTACATATGTGATTAAGCAGAGTAAGAGAAAGAGAGGAAGAAGAAGAAATGAAGCACAAGGGAGTTGATTGATCTAAGATAGAGAAGGAAATGTGGTCTAATTCTGTAATGGTTAGAATTAATATTCCACTATGCCAACGGATTTGGGCCCTCACAAATCCAGTTCAAACCAGCTGTGTAAATCTACCCTGGTTTATAATTGGGCCAAATCTCCCCTATATCATGTTATAGACATTCTATACTCATTTCAAATTAATACATTTGGAGAATTCAGTAATCTCAATTAATGTTGTTATTATATACTTCCAATACAAGTGAAATCAATCTCATAAAAGTCGAAATTTTGCAGGTGCAATTCCAAATGAAATAGGGAATCTAACTATGTTGACGATTTTAAGTTTTGCCGACAACAAATTGACTGGTATGTCAAAGTTCCTAAGTAAAAGCTCTTAATTGCTTAAACCATTGGCAAAGTTCAGAATACAATTGGATCTATAAAATAAAAGGATCACAACTTTTTTCCATTACAAGTCAAATCAAACTCATAAATGTTGCAATTTTGCAGGTGCAATTCCAACTGAAATAGGGGATTTAGCTATGCTGACAGAGTTAGATTTTGACAACAACAAATTGACTGGTATGCCTTCGTTCCTAATTGCATAGACTGTCTTTAAAACTCCGCATCAGGCTGATCTATAGGTAATAGGATAACTTAGGCCTATATTTCGGTTGAATGAAATCAACTTTTCCTTTTAACGGATTTGATATTCAAAGAGGTCGGTTTTAAAGCCTTGCTAGAAGGTTTTTATTTTGTGGGGTGGGGTGGGGGAGGGGACCTAAAACTTCCTATTGTTCTAAAAGTTTTTTTTCTTTTAATTTTAGAGCCTTGCCAATGGAAAGCTGTCGACGGTATGCTAACACAAAAGTACTTCACTATGTTACAGGTGGAATACCTGAAAAGATTGGGAACCTTCACAAATTGGAGGAGCTTCATTTACACAACAATACATTATCGGGTTCCATACCAGCAACAATTTTTAACATCTCATCTCTCAAAACAATTCAACTCTGCCAGAACAAGTTTTCAGGAACTATTCCTTTGACAATGAGTAATAAGCTAAGCAATCTGCAGTATTTTAATATTTACCATAATTTCTTGAGTGGAGTTATACCTAGCTTCATCTCAAATGCTTCTCAGCTAGTTACTTTGTCGCTTGACAATAATGAGCTTACAGGTTCAATCCCCGACTCTTTAGGAAGTTTAAGAAATCTAGAATTTCTAAACTTGGCTTTCAACAAGCTGTCAAGTGATCCCTCATCTCCAGAATTAAGCATTTTCACTTTCTTGATGACTTGGAGATTCTTGAGATATCTAGGAGTGGATCAGAATCCTCTAAATGGTTTTCTACCTGCTTCTTTTTCTAACTATTCGACTCTTGAACACTTGAATGCATTCAGTTGTAAAATCAAAGGAAACATCCCAGTCGGAATCAGCAATTTGAGCAGTTTACTAGTTCTAGATTTTTCAGGTAATGAATTGATTGGATTTGTACCAAGAACTATCCATAGGTTGACAAATCTTCAGGAGTTGACATTGGACTTCAATCAAATAAGAGATGTCTTGGATATTTTTTGCGGACTGCATAGTTTGGGTTTGTTACAATTGAGTCAAAATCAAATCTTTGGTAGTATTCCAGAATGCTTAGGAAATATGACAAATTTGAGACAGATTTTTCTAGGCTCCAATAGGTTGACTTCCATGATACCTGCTACCCTACTGAGCATGAAAGATCTCCAAATTCTCAATCTGTCATCAAATTTCTTAAGTGGATCGCTACCTTTAGAGATCGGGAATCTCAAAGAAGCATATAGTTTGGATATCTCGTCTAATCAATTATCAGACAAAATCCCTACAACAATTGGAGAGCTACAAGTTTTACAGAGCCTTTCGTTGGCAAAAAATAATTTGCAGGGTTCTATACCAGAATCAATAAGTAATATGCTCAGCTTGGAATTCTTGGACCTTTCACACAATTATATCTCTGGTGCGATACCCAAGTCATTGCAAACACTTAAGGTTCTCATGGAATTTAACGTTTCTTTTAATAGATTAAGCGGCGAAATTCCTCAAGGTGGTCCCTTCAAATACTTTACAGGTCAATTGTTCATGAACAATGAAGCACTCTGTGGTGACCCAAGGCTTGGTGTTCCACCATGTCAGTGTAATTCAAGAAAAAGAAAGGTACTTGTCATTAGTCTATCAGTGATTGCAGCAATAATGATAATAGCAATTGTAGCAATATTGGTTCTAAGGTGGTTGAAGGAGCCAAAGGGTTCAGGTGGAACAGAGTTGATGTCAGTGGCAAAATATGAAAGATTTTCCTACTATGACCTTTTGCACTCAACTGATAACTATAGTGAAAGCAATTTGCTTGGAGAAGGGAGCTTTGGTTCTGTTTACAAAGGTATCCTAAATGATGGCATTGCTGTGGCTATCAAGGTATTCAACTTGCAAGTGGAAGGTGCATTAAAAAGCTTTGATAGAGAATGCGAGGTACTAAGGAGTTTACGCCATCGAAATCTTACAATGGTGCTCGGTAGCTGCTCCAACCCTGATTTTAAAGCCTTGGTACTCAAATACATGCCTAATGGGAATCTTGATAAGTGGTTGCACTTTCGTGACCATTTCTTAGATCTATTTCAAAGAGTAAATATAATGATTGATGTTGCTTGTGCATTGGAATATCTACATTATGGTTATGATACTCCTGTGGTACATTGTGACCTAAAGCCTAGTAATATCTTGCTTGATGAAGATATGGTTGCTCATGTAAGTGATTTTGGTATATCAAAAATGTTTGGCGAAGGAGAAAGTATTTTGCATACCAACACCCTCGCAACACTGGGATACATTGCACCAGGTTAATCTTTTATCCTTTTCAGTCTACATTTTCTTTGCTTCGACATTTGTCCATCTGTTGTTAATCTTTTAGCTAATTCCATTATTCTGACTATTGTAATCTTATGACAGAGTATGGATCAGAGGGGTAGTTTCAACAAGAATTGATGTATATAGTTTTGGAATAGTTTTGATTGAAACTTTTTCCAGGATGAAGCCTAGTGATGAAATGTTTTCAGGAGATTTGAGCCTTAGAAGCTGGGTAGAAGATTGTCTTCCTGATGCACTTCAAGTCGTTGATGCAAACTTAATAAGGCCAGAGGATGAGCATTTCACTCACAAGCTAAAGTGTGTTTTATTGATCATGAATTTGGCTCTAAACTGCTGTAGAGAATCTCTAGGAGAAAGGATGAACATGAAAGATGTTTTAGCAAATTTGAAGAAGATTAAACAGCAGCTTCTTCTGATAGTAAGTACTTAGCAATTTTGTGCAAATTTTATCTTTCAAGGTAGGAAGTTACTTTCCTTATTCGTTTGCGCTCATGGCCTGCTATTTCTTGTAGCCAACTGTCAGACCTTGAGTGGATCAGGTACAATGTTTTGACCAGATCAAACGGATATTGCTATATAGTTCAAAAGCTTGATTATTTGGAAGGCTCAAGAGTTATGTACTTGATTCCATAGGTGTCATTATATATGCCGAATTTGGACTTTCAGTTATGGGGCATAATGGATAATTGGTTTTATTTTGTTTTCTTTGAATTTTGAGCAAGTTCTTGGTTACTTTTTATGTGGACCTGATTATGTATCTTTTAGCCTTATCATGTATTAAGATTGCAATAAATGTTTCGTTACTACAAATGAATGCATCAGGTTGCTTAGGTTGCTCTCTAAACTACAGAAAGAATAGTAGCTGTCATCTGTTCTTCTTCTCTTTTACAACAGTTATATCCTACAAGCCGTTTAAAGAGTTAAGTGAAAGCATGGCTTTTGTTGGCAACTGTCACTTCCCTTTGTTCTACATCACAAGTCTTTTGGGATTCTTTGAATCATCACATATCAGAACTTTAATAACCTTGCCTAATTTGAGTTGTCCATTTATACATGGAACGAAAATTGTGAGAAGTGAATTAGGTCGATATAAAACTCTATTGGACTTGGGGTGTGGAACAAAAACAGAGTTCTGCAATTATGAAGTATCTGAGAATTGGTGAAGCATTTTTATAAAGAAATGCACCATTTTAATTTAAAGAATGGTTAAGTATTGACTGTATTGAGGACACTGATGTAATAGTTACTAGCCAGAGATAATAACAATGTCCTTGTTGTTGGAGTCCTTTGATCTTATGGACTTTCTGCCAGCATCCTTTGATTTTTTTTTTTAGTTTTAACAAAAAAAAAGTCTAGTTTAATAGAATTCATGTAGATAATATTAAAGTGAAACATTGCAATTTTCAACATAGAGATTAGTTAAAAAGTTTCCAACACTGGGGTGGTAGAGCTACCTCAAAGGAAAAGTCTACTGACATGTGAGGCAAGTAAAGAAGAACATGCTTCCACTTACCAGGAAGTTTCTAGCAAAAGTTATCCTAGACCTAAACATATGTCCTTTCAAAGTATTTACTTGTACACAATATAAACAAGCTCAGTTGGCACAGATTCTCTATTTGGTTATCCTAAGTTGTTTAGGGAACTGAAGTGAACCAGTGTTACCAAAAAGAGAGCTTTGTCTTGATTAAATTCAATAAATAACGTACCAAAAAAAATGTACAAGTAAAGGGAGAATTATATACATGCTTTAGAGGGCAACATTTGTTAGCTGTTTTACAAGAGAAGAAACAAAGGCTACAATCACTTAGCTCATATAAAATCAAAAGATCAATTATGATGTTATCACTGTTACCCTAAATTATTTGCACCTATATTTGGTCTAAATGTGGGAATATTTACGATGGCATCAAGCTATATCACTCTAAATTTCTCTTATGCGTACTATCTTTGGGGCTTTTGTTAGCTCTTAATGTGGAGAATTTTATTTTATTTTTAAAGTGAAGTTGGAACATATCCAATTAGTATCCTCTCCTCAGGTTGCTCTGCTGAGCACTTGAAAGATAATTCCATTATTGATGGCATGCACTTTTACTATTTCTATTAGATTCTCTTCACATTGGCTTAATTTCTTTTAAGTGGGTTCTTTCTTTTGTATGGGAGTAACTAGTTTCCTAATTATTCTAATTACTTGAAATAGTAGTTAAAGAATTTCCTTTTTATATGAGTTTAGGAATTAGAAACCATTTCCTATTTTGTATGAGTTTAGGAATTAGCATTTAAATCCTATTGTTATTTTGATGTTGGTCCATAAATGTGACTTATAAATAGGTGGGGATTGGTGTAGGTTGACTTATAAAATTGAATGATTGCACTAGCAAAATTCTCCAAACTCCAAAGCGCGTCTATAGAACCCGAAAAAGAAGTACTGAATTTGAATACCTTTTATCTTCACAACTGTATACTAACAATGTTCCTCGATCCTAGAGAATCCCAAGCAGGAAAGGGGTTCGACATTGCATAGATTTTGTATTTTTCTACAAAAATAATATCTGACTTTCTGAAATTCCCAAACAACATCTAAACGAAAAAAAAGAGACAGAGAGAGATAGAAAAAGAATTCACTGTTGGACAGTTGCATATGTGGATTAAACACTACAAGTTTGCAACTGGAGAGATTTAAAGTTTTGAATCCTGGAAAAAAAATTTGGTTGTTGGGCCAAAACCAAGTTCTGGTGTTGTGATTGTATCTTTAATCCTAAAAAGATGTAGCGTTGGACAACAATTCTCAGCCCCCTCCTGCGCAACTCGTTTGGTCACGACAGCCCCTTGGAAGTCGTTGTCCAGCTTCCCACCAGGGATCGAGTCCCAGGGTTACCGTGTTCGAGGGGAAGGGGCCTCTCCTCCCGGGCCGGAGTGGGATTAATCGGGCTCCGTAAGGATTGATCCGGACACTGACTCCGTCAGCAAAAAAAAAAAAAAAAGACAACAATTCTCAGCCCCATGCTCTTAAAAAAAAAAAAAAATCTTGTTTTGCACTAAATTACATTGTCCTCTTGATCAATGAGTCTCAGCTAGGGCCCACAGGTTTCATGTCTGTCCAGATTTTGTGGGAAGCAGAGACAGATTTTTTTTTTAAAAAAAAAAAGGAAAAAGATTTTCGAACAAAATGTTTTCCACATACCTGAAGAAGACATAGAAAAACTTCATATATAAATAGAGTCATAAATTCGACCATAAAAACAACACTAAAAATCTAGCTTGGTACCCATTGGGTAGTTATTGAAGCACCCTAATTTCAACATTTGATAAGGCAGAAGAGTAGCACTAATCCTTTTGTTGGAGCTATGTTATCCCATAAAAGTTCACAAATCAAACTGCCAGCCAATTTCTGCACCCATAAACCACTATATTTTTGGTGTTGGTGGAGCAAATATCAGCCCAAGTAACTTCTTTCACATTGACGTTTCCATCTTTCAGGTATCCGATAAAGTGTCAAGTTGACGTTTTATCTTCTTAAGCGCTGCCACAACTTCTTTCATATTGATCCGATCTTGTGGGCATTCAGTGCAGCAACTTAGAGCTAATTTGAAGATCATTGAAACACACTCCAATTTCTCACTGAAATGCTCATCTTGTTGCCTGAGTAAGTTGCCATCTATAACCTGAACTGTTGCATTAGGTACAGATTCTTCTATCCAATTCTTCAGGGTCAAATCTTCATTGAATATCTCATCACTAGGCTTCATTCTTGAAAATGTTTCCATCAAAATTATGCCAAAACCGTACACATCAATTCTTGTTGACACTAGGCCTTTAAGTCCAAACTCTGTACTGCACAAGGAAATCTATCAATCTATCATAGTTGAAGGAAAAGATAAAACTCATGAAATTGACACATTTTCATACAAAAAAAGAGATATAAAAGCAATTAAAGAAAAAGTCAGATATGCTCAACCTGGGGCCATATATCCAAGTGTTGCAAGGGTCTTGGTATGCATAACACTGTTTCTCTCATCCAAGAATCTTGCACTTACATGCGCAATCATATGTTCGTCAAGATATGACTAGCTCAAATCACAATGAACCACCGGTTTTGCATAGCCAAAATGGAGATATTCCAATGCCGAAGCAACATCCACCATCATGCTTATTATTTGCACTAAATCCAAGCAATGGTTGTGGGAGTATAACCTTTTCTCAAGGCTCCATTGGGCATATATTCGAGCACTAAGGCTTTGAAGTCTAGGTTAGAGCAACTACCAATCACTTTGATCAGGTTTCTGTGGCGAAGGTTGCGCAAAATTTCATATTCCGTATCAAAACTCCTAGAAGTGACTTCTAAGAGGAAAGAGAAAACTTTCGCAGCAACAACTGTCCCATCTGTTAAAGTACCTTTGTATACAGATCCAAAACTTCCTTTGCCAAGTAAATTACTGTCATCATAGTCATTGGTTGCTTGGACCAGTTCATAATACGAAATCCTTTTCAGCAGTCCCATGGGCAACAAATCAGCATTTCTTGAAACCTCATTCTTCCTTTGCAACAGCAATTACTGCTGCTGTTATACTCAATATAATGCCTAACATGTGAAATACTTTTTTGTGACTCCAACATGGAGGAACATGAAATCTTTGGGCTCCACACAATTCACCATTACACATGAATGATTCGTGTGTGAAGTTCTCAAAAGGACCACCAGAGGGAATTTCTCCTCTTAAGTGGTTGAAAGAAAGATTAAGATGAGTGAGATATGAGAGTACCTCCAAGGACTTTGGGATGGGACCTGATAGATTGTTATTGGATAGGTCCAAAACCTCCAAGCTTATAATATGACCGAGTGAGTCTGGAATAGGTCCCTCAAACTGATTTTGTGCTAAAGAAAGGTTGGCTAGACTTTGCAAACCTCCAATGGAACTTGGAATACTCCCACTAAGATGATTTCTTGGCAGACCCAATAGTGTTATTGCCTTCAAATTTTGAACTTCTTGAGGTAGTGAGCCACTCAGTAAATTAGAGGACAAATCCAAATACAAGAGATCGGTGAGGTTCCATAAGCCAGCAGGAATGCTTGAGTTTAAGAAGTTTCCATCAAAGAAAATTTCTCTCAGCGAACTAACATTGCTTAAGCTTGATGGTATTGACCCACGAAGCTGATTTGCTTTCAGATACAATTTCTATAAGCTCTTTAACCCGCAAAGACTATTTGGAATTGAACCACTCAGTTGATTGGATGTCAAACTTAAACCTTGGAGTTTTTGCAAGTGTCTCACTCCGATGGAAGGGGTCCACGCTATTGATTTCCATATAGACTCAAAGTCAATAGATTGCTCAAATTCCCAAATGCATCGGGAATGCTTCCCTTGATTCTACAATAAATAGGCATAGAATTTCTCCATAGAAGTTGAAAGATTCCCAACCGATACCGGAAGAAAACCATGCAATGGATTGTCACCAAAAGATAAGTGTTTTAGATACTTACAATTTGTCAAGTAATTGATAAAACTCAATTCTCTTGATGAAGGTTCAGTTG